GCATGAGTACATGTTATGTCTAATTTTACTAAAAAAAGAGCGAAATGGTACCACCAGCAAACCTGTGTGTTGCCTTCGCAGAGTGGCCACTCGTGCCCTGACGAAAACGGAGCAGACTTAATTTGCCAAAATTTTACCAACACAGAGGGATTTCGCAACGAGGCTTCGAAGCCATTCACAACCATCAAGACGAAGTCAGACGGACACGGTTCTCGAAGAAGGAGACACGATCACTGCAACAAGAGCTTTATTAGCAGGACGTTTCGGATTCTCACTCGAATCCTTCATCAGAGACAAAGTCAGATAAGGGTAGTGAATTGTCCAGGTGTTGCAGTATTTACGGGATGTAGTTGCTAGGCCGCTACATGCCTATCACAGTTGCCAGCTCCTGAGTGCATCACGGCTCGAGGGCTCGCCGGTATCGGCACTAGGAGCAGTGGTCATCCGCACGCTCTTTTCGCGGCTAATTACTTTGTCTAGACAAGGTCTCGGTGGCGAATATTGAGAGGGGAGGTCTTTTCGCTTGTTGATTGATTGAAGACCGGAAAACTATGACTCTGGCAGTTCGTGGCTCACGTGGTTGTCTCCCCTAGCAAGAACTTCTGCTTCGTCAAACTTGTGTGTGGCTGGCGTCGCTCCTCCTCACTGCTGATGCGTGCTCGGACACGTTTCCGTCTACTGTAACAGCAGAGCTATTAAAGGGCAGAACTATATTCGTCTACAGTCGAAATTTTGCAAAAAAATAATTTTACTCACAAATTACAGATAAGAATTGTCCTAACGCAGACAGATTCTAAAGTTCTCAGGAGGTGTTGGTATTCGCCTGCTGCAGTTTAGTCGTCTAAACTGCTATAAGTGCAGTAGTAGTCGCAAATTTCCCATAGTGTGGTTTGTCTCTCGAGTTGAATAGGAACGAATAGAATTAGGGTAAGCAAAAAACCCTCTCTACTGGTGCGTACACGAATGATTTAAACCATTATCGACGAAGGTAAATAATTTATTGCGCCTCCTTAAGGGTTAATTCCTGGCAAATATTTTCGCCCAGCTGGGCTTGTCTAAACTCTACTGCACTTTGCTGTTTATCAAGCTCTGTTGTGAATGCGAACAAATGAAGTCTACCGATTTTCATTTTTCTTCTACTTCACCCAAATGAGTAGTTATTTTATTGCATTTCAAGAGATTTGCCATCATAGGCGTCAACCGCCAACCCTGTCCATTTTTAACTGATAAATTTCCTGCCCTAACAACCTCATTAACCTAGTAAATGGCTGGCTATCTAGCCGTTTTAGAATGGCGTTTCCATAGTGCCAGTTAGCTTTAACATGGATTCGGGGCAGTTTGGCTGAAAACCAATAAAACAAAGACTGAACGTCTTGTGGTCAAAAACGGACGCTTTCTACTGAAATCCCGTCTCACCCGCAATGTCCCCACCGATACTTTTATACTCCGCCTTCGGTAATGTAATAATATTGGATATATTTGTACCAGTTGACTCCAAGGACATCAAGTGCTCTATGCGCCTGTCAGAAGATGTAACCACTAAGGTGTCCAGGTGACGAAAACAATGACTGCTGGACCAATCACTGCCTGGCACTCTCAAAAATGAGGTTGTTATCCTAACCACAGAGATTGCCGCAGGAGAATGAAACATCATCAGCGTTAAACACAGCAATATTTGGCATGACTGAATACAGACTACATCTCACCAGTCAGGTTCTGGGAGCCGAGAAAGGCTAGAGAAGAGTCTGGAATGTCATCCATATTACTGTCACGCAAGCCTCTGAACTCGTGCGCAGGAGGCGATAGGATTTTTAATTGACAGGGAGGATAAACTCTTCCCTCTCCTTTATGACAAATACGACAAGCACGATTGCCACAAGTAAACTTTATTCCCCTGACACCTAAATCTCAATAATGGACGCTTCAGAAAAGATCGAACCGGGGACGGGGACTGATTAAGTGGATGTGTCGAGGAGCGTCAAGTGTACACAGACCGTGGCTAACTAAAAAGTGTCTTTGCAACCGTCAAGAAAAAGTATGACTCTCAAATCACCTAGACCGCGTCGTTAATTAAATTAGGTGGAACGACCCATGTGATGAAAGTGAAGTGGAACTGAGGTATCCCCTCAGCCATCGGTCCGTAACGAAACCGTCAACAGGCGCCCTCAGTTTGAAATTTGGCTTAGTTCCGCCTCCCTCTTGAAGATGGTTTTCAGGCAGTGCACGATAGTCTTCAATCGTTGAACAAACTTTTTGATGTTCTAAAAAATAAGGAGACACGGAAAATTATACTTTGATTTTAAGAACATCACCGCACTGACTCCGAAACTAAGCGCAACCTGTCAAGTGTGGATTCTGAGGACACCGTGGAATAACTGGCAGGATTTTTACTGCTCAGAAATTGAATAACAGGAGGAATAAGAGGGGACCGACCTCCATATCCCCGCCTCCTATTTTGCAAGGGTGTTAGATTCATCAGACTGAGACGAACAGTTGAAATTGATTTGGATGTCCAAAAGGGTTCACGCAAATTGTCAGATATTTGTATAACGGCATAATGACGTCTCATGTACGGCAAGACAACATCGGATGACTTCGAGATGGAGTACTGTATTCTCTACCCAAACCTCCTCAGCATTAGGTCATCTGCACTGTTGACAGTAACCTGTCGAAAGGATCAAACAGGCATCGGCAACATTCGCTGTGTAGAGACTACCTCAAATTCCTCCGAGACCACAATTACTTGCCTCACAGTCCTCAGTAACTCGGCAATGAAAAAAACACGATTTATGCGGGCTCTTAGGGAAGTCGTTGTCATTTTAACTCTGGGTAAGCCAGATTCAAAGTAACCACTTACACTCAGCAAACAGTTTTCATCCATTAACTAGGCTTCAACACAAGACTTGGAGAATTTTTAAGTGGATATCGTCTTTTCATCTATATGTTAGACATTTGTGTTCTCCAAGTGTAGAGCAATGTACGGGCGCTGTACACGAAGACGAGGGGTTTTGGTCTGTCAATAGAAGCGTTTATCGGATCTGGTGCAATTGTGGACGAAGCAACTACGTCGGGGAAATCGCAAGACAGCTCCAAACGCGAATGGCAGAACACACTGCAGCGGTGCGGAGAAATGTCGCTAGCCCTCAAGTTGCGGCTCATTTGACGAGATACGGCCACACATTCAAATTTGACGAGGCCGAAATTCTTGCAAGAGGTGACAACCGCGTGAGCCGGGAGCTGCTTGAGTTGTGGTTTACTGGCCCCCAGTCCATTAACAAGCGCAGCGACCTTCCCCTTCCATACTCAATACTGAGACTTCGCCTAGGCGGAGTAATTGGCCCCGCGGGAAGCGCACAGGTGAACATTGTTTGCAATACCAGCGTCAGCGCGTCAGATGGTCGAGTAATCATCACACCAACATTCAAAGCACGTGATGAAATTGCAGCAATTAACGACGCCAATGTCGACCATCAAAAATTTATTACACCATGTGCAGCTATCCCTGATGAAGGGGGGGGGGGAGCCGTGAATATTCATTGGTATGCGGTAGCAATGCGACTGCATCCTATAAATACTGCAGCCCCTGTGCATGAGCCACCCGTACCTGCTTTTGTCTCTGATGATGGGTTCGAGCAGGAATCCGAAACGTCAGGCTAATAAAGCTCTTGTCCCAGCGATCTTGTCTCCTTCTTCAGGAGTTTAGATCTGTCAGTCATTGCGTCCAATCCAATCATTAATCAACTGATAAACTCCGACAGTCGATTGCTAAGAGAAAGAGAGCGAAGAGGGAATGGGGGTCGACACTGTAGAATCCAGAATGGCATTACCGACAAAGACAAGGGAGACTGGCATGACCATTTCTGGCTTGTTAGCCGTCATAGGTAATACCATTCTGCCTATACCATGCGCCGCTGTGCGGCTGCTCGTTGGGCTTGAGAGAGACCCCGTAAGGCACAACAGGACGAGTGGGTTCCGTAGACGCTGTCGGTGCGCGCCCTTCTACCACTGGAAAATCCATCCCCATGGCACATCAGAACACTACTCATTCAAATAAATCTGATTCACTCAAATCTCTCACTTCGCACTAAGAGTCGACATTCTAAAGTTTGTCAATCGACGGGATAACTTGTTTCCCATTAGAGCTTGTTCTGGCGATTGGAGGACTTGGGGGTCGTGTTGCAATGTACCATTCTTGATATGACCTTTATGCCATCCTCTCTGATTGCAGTCAGAATCCTTCCTATTACAGCCTGGTACCCGTAGTGACCGGCTCGGACAGTCGACTGGTCCAGCGGTGGGCTCTTAATAGAAACAATCTGGCACGTTTGAGACAACCATGGTCAGCTAAAAGTCGTGACTTTGATGGCGGCCAATTATTGACGGACCTCGCAGTCATACGCTGAGTGACCGACTCGTGGACTGAAAGTCAGACTGTGATGGCTCTCGCTAAATGACCCTCTTACACACATGCGAAACCCGTGCACTCTACCCCTTTTGTGTGCAATCATACGTGAGCGTTGGCTGGCCAGGTCGTGCGTGTGGCGCGCGTAGACGGGCCCTCTAGACCTGTCAGCCACTGGGTCAAATAATCGCATCAGACAACTGACCGTCTCTGACAGTGGAGTGGCGCCTGGAGGGGGAGAGTGAGGCCGACTCTGGAGGATCTGTCCTCAGGGCACTCCAGCACATTCCTTACTACAATAAATTTGACAAAATTTTAAACTATCACGATGTGCTAAAAGTCCTAGTTTGGAAGGCTGCCAACTGAGGGGTTGACTTGGACTTCGTAGTCAGCCCAGCGTAGTCTCTACGAAACCACTATTTGAGTAGAATCTTGGCCGCCCCTTCCTTATCTTCATGCTGAAACCCGACCCATTCGGCGCTGACCGGGTCATTTGTGGCACGCGTAAACGAACCGTTTGTCTTTGTTAGTCACTGCGTCCGATCTCACCTCTGGCCTTCTTGACTCTGTCATGACCTCAGACCCAGCGGGGGGAGGATTAGGAGGAATAGGAGTAGGAGGAGGAGGAGGAGGAGGAGGAGAAGGAGGAGGAGGAGGAGGAGGAGACAGCGGGAAGGTGCTGCGCAAGTCTACTATTCAGGCACAAGTCACTGTTATGTATGCAAAACAGAAGGTCAGTTGGAAACAGGACGTGTACTGAGTACAAGAGACAGCACAAGTGAGAAGGCTTGTGGAAACGGCTGGATATATGGCTGGGGGGATGTCATAGGCTGATGGATGGCCAATTAACACAAAGATGGCCTGAACAGGGGTGCACGACATTGATCGTTCGCCTGTCACGCGCATGTAGTCTGATGTCCTGACAGCCCAGGCGCCATACGCTACAGTCACCATCCCTGTTCCCACCCTGATGTGGTACACACGGTGGACCGAACTGTTGTGCTCCTGATCCTTATTAATTTGTGTGCTAGAAGTAAGTATGTCCTTTAAAGTAACCTCCCGTTGGATAGGTAAATCAATGGTCGCTGCTGACAGAATTACAAGCCCAAAGATTGCATTGACTTTCCCTTGAGACACCTTATTAATTCTTTTTAGGTCTCTTTACAACACAGGATGGGTTCGAAAGCGCAAAACCCACAAGACTTTTCCCTTATCGTGCACGTAATTTTAGGATTTCATGAGAAGTCTGTTTTTTGCATTCCATTTATGGAATGCCAAATACAAACTTGCTGACACGTGCTTTCCGCTCCGAAGTAAGGAATACGATTGTTAACCTGCCTGTTAAAGAAATCAGGCCGTATAATCACAATGATGTTTGCTTCATTGTGAGTGTAACTGGGCGCACCAGCTCAGACAAGTTAGACAGACTACTTCTCACTACAGTCCGCTGAATTTACGACCAGTTGTAAAAGCCTCGGACCGTCCGCAGATGGTTTGAGCTACTGCGCAGAGCTGGAGACGTCTGCGATTGTTCAGCGCATTACTGAACGTCCAGCGGTTTTTGTTAAGGTGATTGTCCTGACGCCCATCAGTGGTGGCGAAGGTGAACAAGGGAGCACGAAAAACGAGTGGCTGAACGATTCAGCAGTCTTTCCTGTGTTCTTTCATTCGGCAGTCACATTGGAATTAATTTCCTCCTACAGTCCACCAACAACTTTTGGCATGCGTCCGACAGAAGCATGTCAAATCACCTGAAACGAATAAATTCCATCCATGCCTTGTCTAATTTCCGAGGAAACTAATGTGCGAACTTGGATCGTATCTTTCAAAACAGACCTTTTCAGGCACTTCATTAACTGACCGGAATATTGTGTGATAGGGGATCGATTATATACCGGAAGTCCCTGAAAACCGGACTGTAATGTATGCAAAATAGAAGGTTACTTGGAAATAGAACGTGCACTGAGTTCGAGAGACAGTAAAAGCGAGGAGGCTTGTGGAAACGGCCGGATATATGGCAAGGGGGACTGTCATAGGCTGATGGATGGCCAATTGGCACGAAGATGGCCTGAACAGGGGTGCATGACCCTGATCTTTCGCTTGTCCGAACTGTCGCATGTAATTCGGACCAGATCGTGTGTGGCGCACACGGATGGGCTATCTGTGTCGACCACTGCGCCCACGCAGACCTGTGGTCGTCTTGACATTGTCGTATTATCAGAGTAAAGCTAGTGAGGGAAGGGACGGTGAGATGGATGCTACGCGAGCCTGACTCACGCGCATGTCCTCGGTACTGCGTCCATTCTAAGGGGCTCACGGTGGAAGTCGCGATGGTCGAACAGTCATAGAGTGTGTGACGTAACAAATGATCATGCTCGTCCGTTTTGCTCCTGTGCCGTCTGTGGCAGACTGACTGGTGGTCACCGTTTCGCTTTCTTCGAAATTATGGCCAGCCAAATAACAGCATAACTAATTCGGCCGACCTCCTGCGAATCCATCACTGCCTGCCTAGCAAACTAATGCGCTCGTACCTGCGTGCATGACAATTATCACGCATGTCACGCCTGTACGTACCCCTATGACCGATATGCGTATTCAACCGGTTACATTAACCTGTTCACTTCGTACACGCACATCCTTCTCACATATCAGAGTTCACCTGTCACAAATCAGGACGACCACTGCGTGCCTCAAGGATTAGGAATAGCACCTGTGATCAACACGTGAATTACTTTATGGTGAGGCGGACTTTCGCAGCACCTACCACATTCTCTCCTCCCCTCAGCCATTTTGCTCCGATGTCAAGACGGTTTCAAAATGACAGGGGGTGGATGTGTGTGTGCGCTTCAAACGACCTAATCTCTAGCACACATTGGTCTGGTGGTAACTCCGCAAATCCACCGAAACAAGACGGAGGAGTCGTGCAACACCCTGGGCGACCGCTTTACTTGACAATACTCTCCCCCGCATAGTTCACTACCATGTGGCCCTGGTCGGTCATAGATGCGCACCTGAAAGCAATTGCTTGATCATCATCATCATCATCATCATCATCATCATCATCATCATCATCATCATCATCATCATCATCATCATCATCATCATCATCATCATCATCATCATCATCAGTAATGTAACAATCATGCGATAAAGTTCTTTTAAAGTCACAATGACGGTCGGCACGTCACATGTGTGGGAGATTTTGTGTGACACATTGTGTCGCCTGCCATTTGTACAGTAGGTGGGCCAACTCATGAAATGTCAACCAAACTTCCGAAATGCGCTTTCGTTTCGAAAAGATTAATTAAGTAGGGTTGTAAAACTAGTCAGCATGCAGCATAATTCTATAATATTTCAGTTACCTCAGGATGCCGGCTTTCGAATGAACTTCCTTCCGGCCACATGCAAAAACCACACTCTGTTAGAAACGATTACCTAAGTAGCATGAATTTTTCTCAATGATCTTCGATGCCCCTAAATGTCCAATTTTATTTCATGGAAAGCATACCGTAGAAAAATGTGTAGTTTTCTGTACGCAGAAAATATGCGCTTGTAGTTTGGAAACCCTGAATCCAAATGTAGCGGTAGAGAGGATTCAAAATTCTTCGGTAATCGGAAAACCTTTTTAAAACCGAATTATGTCCCTCATTCGAGCATAAAATTAGAAGACGTAATTTTCTACAGATTGCGCAAAAGAATGAATATCTTTATGGATGTTCTCCATGTGATATAATTGAATTCTTAAGGACATCGAGAATCAATGAGAAGAATGTATGTTACATAAGTAATCATTTTTAACAGAGTATAGCTTTCGCATGCAGCCAAAAGAAGTTCATTCGAACTCCGGCATTCTGAGGTAACTGAATTATTTTAGCATTATGCTGCACGATGATTAGTTTAACAACCCTACTTAATTAACCTTTTCGAAACTAAAACGCATTTCGGAATTTCAGTTGACATTTCATGAGTTAGCTCACGTACTGTAAATTGGACCTACTTAGTATTGGGGGTCATCAGTAATGAAACAATCATGCGATGAAGTTTTTTAAAGTTACAATGACCGTCGACACGTCGCATGTGTGGGAGATTTTGTGTGACACACAGTGTGTCGGCCACTGTGTTTAATTTCGTCATAAATCGGCCTGACTCGCGCCTGCCATTTGAATAGGCAAGAATAGAGAGCGAGGTCGATTAACCTTAAATTTAAGGCTTAACTGCCTCGAGGTAAACTTCCAAGTGCCTTTTAAAGCTATGGCGACGCACTGACGAACGTAGCTGCATGAGTTGCTAACCGATCAGATAAATCGGTCCTACTCAATATTGTGGGTCAGGCTGCAAAGGTTCTTTTTGACGCGGCCTTTATGGAGCTTTAAATTGCATGACATTCCAGGCACCGTCATGAGAGACTACTGTATGTGTAATTAAGGATCAGGGCGAATGTAATCCACATTGGCGTTCACTTGGTCACATTACCAACGGCACTCACGCCCATCTCCGATCTTCATGGCCTCGTCCTGAGAATAAAACATGGATGAAGCGGGACGAGGTAGATGCAGGGCAAGTCTGCCTTACTGAGCACCATGTCGTGTGTAAGTCACCACTGCACCCTCTCCGGGACACTTGCAGTCTTCACGTTTTTGCGAACGTGCTAGTATGCCTAATCAGAAACCGTAAAGCACAGCCCCACGGTCCCGGCGTACGAGTGCTTGAATGTGACGTGGCATAAATTAGGTGAGCCGACCATCATTTCGGGGTGCGCGCCAAGTCGTCCTGCTGAATGCAGATGAGTTAAAGGTACGGAGAAGTCGGTCCAATTAAAATCACACTTACAGTATGAGCCGATCCTCATGAACCACAGGTTGAGTCAAAATTACCCCGGCCACCGTCGCAAACTATTTTCAGGAGAAAAATACCAACTCATTCGATATTTGGAGAAACCCAATTACATTTCTCAAGCTTAAGATTACAGAGATCTCTTAACTCTCATACTCAGTTTATCGGTAGATATTTCTAGCTAAAATCTTGTTTTGAGGAGTGAAGTGTCCCGACTGTTTAACAACTTGATTCTTTACATACATTTAAAAACACAACTTAAGTTTCCTTCTCTCATTTGGGTTTCTACATTCCAAAGCATTTGTCCACTGCAAAACAATTTAATGTCCTTTTTAGGAGGTCTGCGTTCACTTAAGATAATGCAAGGAAAACAGATCGGGTTCCAGACTCTAAAAGCACCAGTAACAAATCGGCAAACACTAAATTTCATTACTGATGTACGAGCCTCCCGGAAACTCTCCCGGTTGCAAACTTCAAAGCCTAGATATTCCTCCTTCTTTGGTTTCAACGATAAAGAAAATGTAGCGTCCGGTAAAAAGTTTTAAGAAAAGAGGTTTGTATTCATTTTTTCCGGGAATTATGACGACTGAATGCTGAACGGAAAAGTGACGAAACCATTACAACCCAAGAAGCGAAGTTTCCTAGAGAGTAGGTTTTGCAGGCGACTGGAATTATGCTCAGCCAGGAGTCAACTGTTCCACCCCGACGGGTGTGACGGAGGAGGAGGTTGGTTCTGGAAACAACCACTTTATTCTAGGTCGTCGGAAAACAGCGGACCCCTTAGCTCATCAACTCTCACCTATTTATCGGAGTTCTGACCGTTCTCGAACATTCCAGTCGATGGCATGCCAATTGCTGGGGACATTCTGGGATATTCTGACCTATGGCGTGTCGCACGCAGATTGGCCATCGGAGGCCCCTAGTTGAATCTTCTCGTACGCGTGAACACGGGCTTCATATGTATTCGATACAGCAGCGCACGCTGATTGGCTGGCTGGTTCCGCGCGTGTACTTCCCAGCCGGCTTGGCCTGCCGTGACGCGCGTAGTCACGTGTTCTTTTCGCTCTAGACCGCGATTTCATTGTTGTTTCCGTCTCCATATGTCGCGTAAGACTTACGGTGACATTGTGTGCTATGATAGCCAATATTATGACCTCGATAGTAAAATCCCTTCGGTTTTGGAGGCACATTCGGGGATGTTAACTGCTTCTTCCCGAGGTCCAGGGCATACTGCGAGTATTTCATGCCGCCGTATCTTGCCGCACTTTCCATACCAGTTTATATGTTTCTCTGTGCTGAATTTTCTCCACATCACTCGAATTTTACTGTCAGATGGAAAACATTGAAGTCTTCCTGAAGGCTGCGGAAGCGTATGGAGTCCCGAGGACAAGCCTCTTCCAAACTGTGGATTTATACGAGACAAGAAATATGAGTCAAGTGATCAGCTGTCTCCTTCAACTGGGAACAGAGGTATGTTAAAAGTCCCCTTTAGCCTCAAGATTGAATTACAGGCATTTTTCGACTATCCGCGACACAATTAGCATTCAAAACTAACTGAATTTTACAGTAATATAAGCACGCTTTTACTCTTCCTAGGGCTACTAATTTTACCAAGACTGACGCTTTAGTCTCTCTAGGGCTGCTAGTTTCATCACGTCAAATGTGGATGAAGATAAATAATGGCACCTGGTAGGTCTAAAGAGTAAAAATATAGACACAACACCATTATGAGCGTAACTGTCTTCGGAGTTACTGATTTCCTGGGCAAATGTGCACGTTCCGTTTTGATTTCCAAAACTTCTTTTATTTGTCCTTGAGATGCAGAACGCCCTCATTTCGCAGCGCCATTCCCACGTGTCCTTGAATTTACCTTCACTGACCTGGAGCAATTTAAAATAAAATTTACCGACCTGACGGTTGAAATACTTGCTGGCGTGACAGTACTGCTACCCGTCATGATCATGTGGTTCGTGGTTCGGAGCAATAAACACCCCAGCGACGTCACTTCAAGGACATTTGGAATATCTGTGGCGCCTCTGGAGCGTATAAACCTTCCGTTCTCCCCGCTCTTCCGCCGCGCCAGAGATCACGTGACCGCGGCCCTGGAGCAGAAGAAGTGCCCTCACGCTGATTAGCACTCACGTGACGCTTAGTCACTGGCATCCACATCATCCATGCGGCGATGCGCGCAGCTCCAGGGTCGACTGGTCGTCAGGGCCGCAAGTTGCCATCAGGATTCTGTACAGACAAAACTCCTGTGAGTATTAATCCGGACCTAGCCTGATTATTGTAGTGGTTAATAAACTGCTAACAATGCTATCCGTCACGCATCTTCACACAGTTAAAGGTAGCATTTGGATGATGGGTCGAACAAGTAAAACAGCAGCGAAATCTCAGCTGAGTCATAGCACATGATCTCATTTTCTGTCGCCTGGACTCAACCCTTCCCCTGAAACATGCCGAGGGGAGGGAGAATAAAATCGGTCCTATGTGACTTGGTTTTCATTGTCGAGTTAACGCGTCATTAACCGACTTGAATGATTGCGGACGGCAGCAGTATAGAGGAGTACCCCACTTAACTGTCAGTAGACTGTGCATCGTGTCATATGGGGTTTTATCTTGGCATACATTTGCAGGCTGTTGCATAAATTACACTGGCAACAAAGATTACTTTCCACTACCCCACATCATAACTCAAAATCCGTTATTTCGTGAAATTTACTTTTTGTTTCTTGTTTCATTACTACCCTCATTTCCGCTGTCGTACAATAGCGTAAGATAAGACTTTCGGCATAAATTCAGGCAATTTTTGTGTTTTCTTTCATTTTGTCAGCTTACTGTCTAGCGTGCTGCCCCACCCATACAACTCCCTTTACCATAAATCACGTATTGTACGATCCACAGTCTAATGACAGCTAAGTGGGGTAATTCTTTATACCGTTGCCCTTACTGCGGGTAATAGCGCCCAACTCTGCTAAGCCTGGTTAGGTTGGTGTAAGCCATGCCTGAATATTCATTTTATCTAAACTTACCTTCAGTGGCCCATATGAAGTCTTGTCGCCCAGAGTGATGTCGGTCATCGCCCAGCACGGCGGTCAAGCAGACAGAATCTCTCACAGAGCTTACCTTGACTTGCCTCGCCCTAAAACGGCCCGCAATTAAAGAAATCCTGCTGCCCATCAAAAGGAACAACTTAAAATCGTGACTTAGATGCCTTCCCAGAGGTCTGATAGTTCATCGGTCGCGTCCGTCGATGTCCACTGTGTAATAAGGCGAGATCAGGCATGGTGACATGTGCGTGAATTAGTTTATAGTGACGGTAGACTTGCGCAGCATCTACTTCACTCTCAGTCCCCTACACTCCACCTGGGCCCGGCGTCGAGACAGACTCAAAAAGACCGGAGGCGTGAGAGGGCGCATGTGGCTAGCACGGCCGGATCCGCACCTGGGCGTGCCAGCATACCCCCTGGTCTACAACAAACACTTGATCAAGATTTTAACCGAAAACAAAAGTGGGTCAGAAAGAGGAGAGATCAGAGACCTACATACCGTTAGTCTGCGGTTGCCGGCTGATGTCAAGAATCGTTCACAGGCCTCACAGTTAATGTCTCGCACTTTGTTACGGCGCCTTTTGCACACCATAAACAACTCACACCCCACCCGCAGATACCGCTACTGTCCAAACTGGTCCTTGTGGACTGACGTATTTTGCACTAGACCAGGTCGCTTCTGCAGGCACCCAGGACCCCCATTCGACGTTGTAGATCAGGGCATAAACTTCCATGCTCAAGAGCCTATCAAATGCAGATGCAAGTGCTGATCTATGGAAATTATCTACTCTGCCATAGGCAGAGCCTAACCACCATGGCCTTAAGCTCAAGTTCAGAGTAGAAAGAAGATAAGTCATGCGCATGTGGAGGGAGGAATTTATTCTGTATAGAAAGCAGCTGGACAAAAGACGAGCAAATGTTGCGTTGTCGGAGTGCGTGTCCGAGTGCCTAGAACGGGATTGCGCGCACGCCAGCCTTGAAGTTGATTGGTGGCAGGTTTGCGCATCCATAATTAGCCGAGCCCCAAACGGAGTCTCTCGGTTTCGGAGTTTGATCGGACTCTCTGATAACATCATAGTGCGCCACAGCTCAACATTGACGACGAAATTGCGACGATCAACGTCCGGATGCGATCGAGCAGGCAATCATTACACCAATGACGATCACCAACTGTTAATTATGTCAGACATGTGGCTTAATGGCAGCTGCAAAGACTGCACCCCTTGATCCACAGTTGCTTCTGTCTCTGATGATGGATTCGAGTGAGCAGCCGAAACGTTAGGCAAATAAAATTCTTGCTCCAGTGATCGCATCTCCTGCTCCTCACGCGTCTCATGAAGCTCAGCCTTTTGCTTGTACTGAGTCCCTGAATGCCAGCTGATCGACTGCCGCTGACACGTGCGTGCATGTGTGTGACAAACAGATAGGCAGCGTTGCAGTAGACGCCGACAGTAGGGCCACTACAAGTGCTTTGACGGGCGAGATTTTGAAACAGGACCGACTTTAAGACGGAAGAAGGCGTTCAACTAGCCGTCTAAGATGTCACACACGTACGGCGTCGCCGGAAACGGGTGTCCGAATGCCATGAGCGACGGCGCATACAAACCAGCCTTGAAGTCAGACAGCCGCGATTGGTAGAGCCCCATACAGAGCTTCTCGGTTTCAGCGCTTTGTCGAACGCAAGGAGAACACCATACAGAGCCGCTACTCAACACCGGTTAATGTGGACTCGCAAGCCATCATCGCACTAATTACGAGCAATGGCGATGAATGGGGGAATTTCTAATTAGAGTTGGTGTATGGTGCCATGGCAACTGCTTCCCAATAAATACAGCAGCCTTATCTGTCTCCGCTGATGGGTTCCAGCGAGGATCCGAAAGGACAGGTCGGGAACATCTGTGCAAAGCATGACGTCAAAAAGGACTACTGACACAGATTCGCTCTCCGGGTCATCTGAAGAAGCGGAAGAGTCAGGACCTTCTCTTGGTTGCACACGAGAATAAATACCCCCTCCCCCCATATTGCATGTGAATTTACGCTGACTTCAATGGATGTGATAATTGCCTATACGGGCGAAGATGCGAATTCCAGGAATTAGTTGATAAGACGTAGAAGCGACCGTCGGAACAGGAGCTTTATTTGCCTGACGTTTTAGATTCACGCTCGAGTCCATCATCAAAGACAGTGACGGATGGGGGCGATGCGGGCACAGAAAGTTGCAGTGGTTGTAGGATGAAGTCGCTATGCTACTGCATATCTATAATGATCAGGTTGGAGTTGCACACAGACCGGAGGGCACCATAAGGCGTCAGACAATGAGACCAAAAGACCCACTGCCACGGAGAGAAGCCTCTAGAGTCATTTACCGGATCTGGTGTGGTTACAGGCAGAGCAACTGCGTCGGAGAAATTGGAAGGCTGTTCCGGACGCGAATCACCGAACACGCGACGACAGTTCGGAGAAATGACGTCTACTCTCAAGTCGCGACACATTCGACGAGACCCGGCGACACATCCGACTTCGATAAGGGCGAAATTCCCCCGAGAGGTGATAATCGCGTGAGCCGCGAGTTGCTTGAGTCATGGTTCACGGGCTCTCAGTCTATTAACAAGTGCAGTGATATCCCCACCCCATATTCGGTGAGCTAGGTGGCCGAGCATTCATCACGCCAACATCCAACACGAACGACGAAATATCAGCAATTAACAACGCGTATGTCGACCATCAAGCCATTAGCGCACCATCGGGCAACAATCCTCGATAAAGGTGAGAGCAGTTAATTAACATAGTAACTGCCTCCTATAAATACTGCAAATTCCAGTGCAAGAATCTGCTACTGTCTCTGATGATGAGTTCGAGCGTGAGTCCGAACGTCGGGCGAATAAAGCTCCTGTTCTTGCGATAACTTCTACCTCTTGTCGATGTGATTATTCTCATATCATAGCCTTAGCCCCAATCCTAACCCTGGCTCTCCTAACACTAGCCCCTTGGAGTTTAGTGCAAGGCCGCTTGTAATACGAGAATGGGTACTTATTCTCGTGTATTGAACGTCTTGTGACGTTCACCGGAACGGTCTATCTCGGTGACTTTATGAGAAGCTGTAACGTATGTTCCCTGTGAGCCATACACGATTTTCTTCTCTGCAAGACTCATTCGACCTGATTTAAAACTGTTCTTGGTTTACTCCCTGCTGTCACGCAAACCCTAAAACATCAGGGGTGACTGTCTTAGAAGGTCATCGGTTGTGTTTACTGCAGAGATCCTTCACTGTCTCACCACCCCACAGCTGGGTTAATTCTGAAAAAATTAAATGCCTGACAGAAGTCAGCAACACTTATCTAAAGGTGATGGCATTGAAATTCGTGCTCGGGTGGGCGCAGGGCACGTCTTTGTTTTGATTTGCAACCAACCCATCATAACGCAAAAGTTCGGAAATCAAAGAGCAATCTATACTTGCCGAGGGTGTAAGTCGACATGTTTTTCGGAGTACTTAGATAGCAATTTCACTAGCTGAAAAGATCGTATCAAGTGTCTTTTTGAAAAACCTGAACTTCAAGCACAGGATCTACCGGCGTGTGCCTCGTGATAACAAAGTCAAGGAAGGTTTGTAGTCACCGTGAAATAAGAAACGTACACTCCGACACATTCAGCTTCGAAGAAGTATGAATGCCATCCAAAAGGGTCAAGTGATACTAGCACTTGTAGCAGAGGATATTCTTGGCACATACTGGTGGCCGATAGTAGTTGTTCTGTCGCTTCTATGACCTCTAAGATTATCGATCGATTCTTATCTCAGTACCACCGAAACCCTCAAAGAGGTAGGAAAGTTGCCATGAAACGCTGGACAACAAATTGACTGCACTTTTCGGAGTTTCTGTAAGTGAATGGAAGCTAATTTTTCAAAAACCTTCACGCGCTGAAGCTGAAAAGTACAGTTAAATTGGTCTCCAATGAGTAAACCTGATTTGCAGAGGTGAGTAATGTCTGTCCATACAAATAACTGAGTAAATAAAACAGAACAGCACAGCGTCCAAAAGGCCTATTAGACGGTATTATTCAAGCATTCCTGTCATACGCAGTCCTGCAGTTAGACACGTGTGTGGCGGTTGGTTATGGGTTTAAAAATTCCGCTGCGAGAATTCGCCGAATTCTTTTATCTGAGCGTTTTCTGCAATGCGCTGGACTACGGACAAGAGGTCTTCCCTTAATAGTACATGGTTACATGTCGGAGGTCAGAGGTGATCAAGAAATAGGAATACAATTAGTAGATGCGATAATAAGCGTGCCGTTTTCTTCGCATCGAGAAAAGTTTTCTTCCGTATAATTTTGATTATAGAGAAAAAAAGTGTTCTCACGCTCCCCAAAATCAACAGATTTATAGGGGCCCGAACTATACAAATATCAAACGTGCTACTCTGACTCCACAAAGCAACTTATAAATGTTTTAATTGCCTAAAATGAAATTTATTTTGACCAAACTATGAAAAATTCGATGGTCTTGGTGGGATTTGAACCTTCAACAGCGAGGAGAAGGCTTGATTACAAGCCAACATTCTGGCCACCTGAGCTACAAGGCGCCACTTGGAGCCGTGAATTTAGTTCCACTTGGGTCAAGTTACCCGCTCAGCCTATTGAAAAACATGAAGCCTACCAAGTCTGATACAGTAAGCTGTCTGCCAAAGCGGGATTTCCTGAACAATTCATTTGAAATCCACCAGATGACTGTCCGGATCACGTCATTGATTTATATTTTTGGCAGATATTAATATTACATTTTTAACCATGTCTGGACCAAGTTCGAATTGCAGAATTGACTGCCGTACTATCTCTAGATCCCAAAATGTCAGTGACCACATCCTTGATTTTCAGGTTTGTTGATCCTAAAACAGGCTATGCCGTAGATGCGATAGCACAGCATACGGTCTAAACCAGTGTCCGGTGAGGGTGGCGGTGATCATGGCAATCGCACTCAGTGGGATCCAAACCAACCTCTTTTTTCTTGCTGGTTAAGATCCTGGGCAAGTGTTTGTTGTGGGTCAGGGAATGTGGTTGCTCGCCTAGGTACTGGTCCGGTCGTGCCAGCTACCTGCGCTCTTCCCCGCCTTCGGTCGTCTTGACCCCAGGCCCAGATGGGGAGGGGGGGAGTGCGGTAGATGCTGTGCAAGTTTACTATCACTATAATCTTACTCACGCGCGAGTTACCGCCCGTGCGTGCACCCTACTGTAAAGTACACGGTCACATCATCGGTCACGAGGGTTGAACAGTCGTGATTTTTGGGATTGGTAAACGTCCGTCTTCACAAAACTCCGTTTTTTTTCAATTCATCTTCATAAGGCCTTTAAGGTAACTCGTCGGTCAGAAGAATATTGGCTGCTGAGTGGAAAGACCGATAGTAGTGTAATGTAGGATGGTACTGGCTCACAGAGCAACGTGACAAAACAATGGAAGGAAAGAAGAAATAGCCATGGGCTTTGAGCTGTCGGGATCTGAGACTCGAATATCGAATACAGTTGATGTCGGCATATCAAGAAGACGAGTAGATGGGAGAGAGGGAGGGAGCAGGGGCGAATCGGATGTCGTCTCAGTCGACAGGATGTACTACTTAGATTTTGGTCGTGGTGGCCCTGAAACCTCGAGGCAGCTGAGTTTTGTGAAAAAAGTTCGTCAAGAAGAGTGACTACCGTCCCTGCTATTGACCCTCTGTGTTCAAGTGACCTTTGTGAGGGTTTCCCTGAAAACCTGCGATTGTACTTGCAACGCATATTCACGTTTCCTTCCAAAATTTTCGGTGTCGGTAATGCAGCCGGGATTATTTTCCCTAAAAAGGGTAGCAGTCCTGCTGCCTATTTTTTAATGAAACGGTAAAACGTAAATCAAATCACACTTGCCACGCATCTTGTATGAATCTCTAAATGATAACTACCCAGACCAGTGTGCAATCTTTTGAAACGTTACGGTAGAGCGGACGATGGATTTCCCGCGCAAACAGGTCAACGTCATGAAAAGGCTTCAGCAAACACGTATTTTCGATGAATTCTTATCGGTTTTTTTGACTTGCCTAGCAATTTAATGTGAAGTGAAGTGTTGAGCCAGCCTCCGCTAGTCCCACGAACCTAAAAGACCACGTTTAAGGTTCTACCCTACCCCGCACTAACCCTAGGTTTGCCTGTAGGCCTGACGAGACTGCATCGCATGCATGCCTGCCGAAGCCGCCTGTGCGTCAGAACAATTTTCAGAGCAAGGGGTCTTCATTTGCATAACAGCTGCCATTACTGGACTCCGCTGCATTGTTGTTAGACAGCACTGACGTGCACTCTTCCATAAAGTACACACTTTGAGAAGTTTTGCTTGATCAGCGGAATCAGAAATGCGTCTAAACAGATTGTGAAGATTTATTTTACAAAAAAGCGCGGCATGCCACTAGAAACTGCAAATTATCATTCACAAATCGAACAGGCATGGCGGCCAAAAGAAATACCAGTGGTATTTTATCTTGGATAGTTTGTGCATTGCATGGCGGAAGCATTTGAAGAGGACCTACTGACATTTTTCTAAACGGCTAAAGAGATTAAGTCATTAATTACTATTTTGCAGACGATTCCATTTGTCACTGGCATGTGTCGGGGCCTAGGTGTTACCATTAGAACTGCACTGGTGACTCTAGTTTTCACAAATTGGACTTGACGATGACGGCTACAGTCGCTAATGAGATGAAAATGCCTTCGAAATTGGTAATGCGTCAAAATATTTGCAAGATTTTCGCGTCTTTCTGATAGCTTTCCACGTCACGACGAACAGGATTGCGTGAGCAAATCAGGGCACAACGTCCATAGAGAATAGTCCATCAGGGATACGGTGGTGGTGGTGGTGGTGGTGGTGGTGGTGGTGGTGGTGGTGGTGGTGGTGGTGGTGGTGGTGGTGACAATGACACATCTAAGTGACTGACGGGAATGCTTGGAAAGTTGTCGAACTCTGCCACTTTTGTCAGCAAGAAGACAACAAGAGAAGTATTTTAGGCTAAGCGGATGCAAGCGCAGACTTTTACCGGTCGTAATCTATAAAGAGAGCAGGGTAACACGTACTTGACAATTTCCTCAAATTAATTTATCATGTATTTCCGATTAATTCTTATGCGTATGGATACCGCTTTGAGACAATTCTCAACATTAATCGTGCAGAACGTAAACTGTACATAAAAAATCCCCTAATCACAGATAACTGACTTGTTTGATAAAAGGTCTTCTTTACACTGACGTAGGTTTCTTCCTGCTAGGTCTATACAAAAGGCCAATAGGCGCTTTGATTTTTTTTATTTGCTCTTGGTAACTGAGACCATCGCATAATTTGCCCAAAACATTTTGACACTGCGTGAACTGATTAGACGGACTCCAATATTTTCGAATTTGCGTTTACTCCTTTGCTGTTTTTTAAACGGCACAGGCTTTTAAAAATACATTTTTTCGCTGCTTCACTTCTAGTGCCAGCGCCATAACTTCGGTGGTCCAGTCTGCGGGCCAAAACCAACGTACGAGAACAAACGCGAATTCACGCATTCGCAACTGAACGCTTCAAAGGGCATTATCGGTCTGCAAGCTGGTTACAACAAGGGCGCTAACCAATCCGGCCTCAGCTTTGGAGCCAGCCGTCACGTGGCCGACCTCAAGGTCGACGAGATGTCTGCTGGAGGCAAGAGTCTAATTGGTTTACAGGCAGGATCCAACCTAGGCGCCAGCCAATCTGGTATGAGTATGGGCGCGCAGAGACACATTGCAGATATCAAGGTCGACCAGATGTCTGGTAGTGGTCAGACCGTCATCGGCCTCCAGGCGGGGTCAAATCAGGGAGCCAGCCAATCAGGGATGAGTATGGGTTCAGTGCGCCACATTGGAGACATCCAGAGTGGCGAGCTCTCCAGAAGTGGTCAGGGTGTTATCGGACTGCAGGCGGGCAGCAACAAAGGCGCCTCGCAGACGGGAATGGCCTTTGGAACCCAGCGACACATAAACGATCTTAACGTTGGAGGGAGAAAATGAAAACTTAATTTGAAGCCCAAGTCCCACTTCTTAAAGGTCTACACTGAGAACTTGGAAACACTTATGGTCGATTTGCATGCTGACCAAAATTATTGACGTGTAATCCCACCAACCCTTAATCTACATCTCCTTTCAATTATACTGACAAACCTATAAGTCGCATTCTTCGAAGCAAAGCGAATGTGCAAAGCCTGCTATAAAATCTTCCTGGTGAACGTGACGAAAAGCGGCAATATCGAAGACAGACTCATTCTCTTCTGCTCGCATACAAAATAAACTCACGAATGAAGGCGAAATTTCGAGTTCGGGGTGTATGCATAAGCGAAAAAGAAGATTCGAGCACCGGAACACTTCGTTTATTGTACAGAGCTTTCAGACTCGTACAGGAGTCCATCGTCAGAGGTAGTGGCAGCAACAGAACAAACGGCAGTTATAAGGCATGTTGGTCCAATCATCGACCGACGGCGCAAGACTGGAGGTGACTACGCAGGACTCTGTACGCCGGAGCTAGATCGATAAATCGATTGGCCGAGTTATCATCCGAGGCGACGCATTATCATAAGTGGTCGCCCACACCTACGAAATGGATTACGAGTTTAACGTCGCAGCCACCAAAATGGTAGCTCACACCGGAAACAAAACAGGCCGAGAATTGGCTGAAGCCGGGCCGGCGAAACACGCGTGTCTGGGCTTTTAGCTAATACCTGTGTCGTTAGTACGGTAAATCATTGCACAATTCTATACTACTGACTGCCTGTTGGCGGTTTGTGAATATTGAGCGGTTATTCCGCAGTAGCTGATGGATTTCAGCTCAAATATTCATATCAAATTTCGGACTGTGCCTGAAAAGGTCTGTTCCGGTGGATTTGCTCCAAGTTCGCACATTAATTTCCTCGGGAGTTAAACAAGGCAAGTTGAGACTGGAGTTCATATACCAGAAAACACACGGGGGAAGCTGGGGATGCACTGATGAGCCGAACCCCTCGCCGCTGCCTCGGGAAGCGGCACAAGATCGCTGAAACACGCGTGTCTGGGCTTTTAGCTAATATCTGTTTTGTCAGTACGGTGATTGCATAAGTTCCGCAAATATTCCCATGTTACACCTGAAAAGTCAAGTTGGTAAGCACGCGTTTTTGATAATTCTTTGTCAGGCCAATACAGTTGCATGAAGAAATGAAAATGTACAAAATCAACAGCGTTTATAGGTATCTCGAGGGCTACTAAGTCATTAACACTCATCTTCCCCACGCCGCCCTCATGATAAGGTCGGCGGGTTTTGGGCTTAATAACCGTCGTCCCTGGACAGTATTCATGACGGAGTAGAACTCGCCAATCCCTCCTGACTGCGTTCCAGGTACGACTCATTGCGAGAGGCGGGATAGCGAGGAGTAACTGCTAATCCAGACCCAGCACACCGGAAGGCGACGGCGAAGGGCATGAGGACTCTTGCCGTCAGCCAGACATGCCCAAGGTCAGGCTGCGAAGATTCTAAATGTCAAGCGGGGTTCTGCCCAACCTCCCATCGCGAAGCAAGGAGCCCACGCCCTACCGGGTGCAAGGCCACATAGGAGTGCCGCTAAGCCACCTGGCGTTCCGCTCTGTCTTAAGTGAGAGCCCCCCAATCAGTGGGTGGTAATTGGACGTGGCCCAACAAAGCTACCCAGCATTGGAACACGCTAGTTGTAAGCCTTAAGGTTATAAGCGTGAGGGATGAATATAAAGTACATTTGCACATATTAGCGAAAGACGTGTCTTTTTTCAGTAGGTGGAACAAACTACTGCAAATCACAATAGGTTGGATGTACAAAAATAGATAAACTCTGGTAATGTAAATGAAGGAGCGCTGGCAAAAATACCGGCGGCGGGAGATGGGGAAGGGGTGATTCGGCTGTCGGGAAAGGAATGACAGGGTAATATCACAGGAGTTTATTGGCCAAAACGCGATCGAAAGAAGTGGTTAGGTTTAACAGAAGCTGACGCTGTTCGGCTGTCGCGTCAGGACTGAATACGGAATTCCAGAGGTCGCGAGACGACAGCTCCTCAAATATGAAGTTGACGCGTTTTACCGACTTCTCGCTGAAGACACGTTCAGTAAGGAACAGCAGTGCTTGTCGCAGTTCTTGGAGGATATCGATGAGGGCGTCGACGTCGAGAGATTTCTCGCAACGCGAGA